TTATCATGGCCTTTATATTAGGAATTATGTTAGATAAAGATATTAATTTAATATTAATATAATTAATTTAAATAATTAAGACAACTGTCTGAAAGATCCCTGTTTAAATGCTAGCGCAAAACTTAACCAATATACATCCGCCAAACCTTGAAATAGAATGAATAGATCCTTAATAATACCTAACCAACCATAACTAAAAAGTAGACACTCAACTCTTGAAATGAAGTCTATAACAAACAATGTTACATTGTACCATATATGGAGTATTCACACATCCATAATTTTGAAAGAATCCCAACCGATGTAACACATGACCACCTTCTTTCACATTATCACTATTCGGGAATATTTCAAGTAGATATTTCCATCCAACTCTTATGTCTTTATATTTGGCACTCATCTGACATAACTACAATTCTAGTTAGGTAGGTTGGATCACATTAATCCAGATGGATGTAAACCTCGAAATAATCAATTATTCAATATCAAATAAAGTTAAAACTCTCTATAGATTTTATGACAAATATTATTACAGAGTGGTGTATAATCTTTTCCTGAAACATAGCCAATAGAACTTTTTAAATCTTTTTCAAGAGTTTTTAAAGCGTGTTAAATACCAAACCTTAATAAAACCAAACTGAACTCAGATCCTATATGCCGTAGTTTAAATACATTTTTTAACATTTAACTTATTGAAGATTATGCGAAGAGTGTTGATAGACAAGACTTTGGTATGACTTACACCCTGACACTATGTGGCTAGTTCTAATACATTCATAAGTCTCTAGCAAGCTCTCCATCGCCAGCATTACAAAAATAGACATAGCTATTTATCTGTGGGACTCAACGCAAAAAAAAAAGTTTTATGCACAAAAGAAATTTTAACCGAATCCTTTCTGCCTTATACTCTGATAGCTGACTAAAAAACTGGAGTTCACCATTGCAAAAACATATTAAATAGTTGAGGACAAATCCGTTAAGTATCTGAACTATTATAACTGGTGATCAAAAGGGTGAATTATGAATTTACGTCAGATTCAAACTATGACCACAAAACACTATGTGTGTGCTCTATAATGATTATGGTACGGATTTCGTCCAGTTCGAGCAGAATATCGAAAGCAAGGCTATTGAGTTCTGTTGCACCATTATGCACCATCGTAGAAATCCATCATTACATGTAAGTTCTTAACCAAAAAGATCTAATTAGAGGTCATGCAATTCCCAATTACTGTTTAAATTAAATTTTACGAAAAAAAGAATCGGTATCCAAACTGTCCCATACATTTAGAAGCATTCGTTTGTGGTTGAGTGTTGAGTATATAGGAGACGGTATTGAGTCGATAGGAAACTATGTTAAGTCGATAGGAGACTGTGTTGAGTCGATAGAAGACTATGTTGAGTCGATAGAAGACTATGTTGAGTCGATAGGAGGCTGTGTTGAGTCGATAGAAGACTATGTTGAGTCGATAGAAGACTATGTTGAGTCGATAGGAGACTGTGTTGAGTCGATAGGAGACTATGTTGAGTCGATAGAAGACTATGTTGAGTCGATAGGAGACTATGTTGAGTCGATAGAAGACTATGTTGAGTCGATAGAAGACTGTGTTGAGTCGATAGGAGACTATGTTGAGTCGATAGGAGGCTGTGTTGAGTCGATAGAAGACTATGTTGAATCGATAGAAGACTGTGTTGAGTGGATAGGAGATTGTGTTGAGTCGATAGGAGACTATGTTGAGTCGATAGAAGACTATGTTGAGTCGATAGGAGACGGTATTAAGTCGATAGATGACTATGCTGAGTCGATAGGAGACTGTGTTGAGTCTATAGGAGATGGTATTGAGTCGATAGAAGACTGCGTTGAGTCGACAGAAGACTAAATCGGTGGGTGAGTATGATGAGTTGATAGAAGTCTACACTGAATCGATGGGAAACTGTGGCGAATTTTAATTAACCAAAATTTAAATATCAAAATAATAAAACTTTGTGTTTTAATTGAGACTAGCGCAATCGAACTTGTAACAGACTGGACATAATGAAATATATAAGAACTTCTTATCGCGACATCAACATTGAAAAGTGCTTTAAATATTGATTGATATTAGTCTCATTAGATTTGGACAGACTCTGCATAATTGATTATTATAGAATAAAGAACTTTTGATCAAAACGTCAACTTCGTAAAATAATTATTTTTTTTGAGATTAGTCTCATTGGATCTGGGACAGACTGTGTATAGTGGAATATATATAAGAGTCAAAATAGTAATAAGATTGGCAAGAAATCTCTCTTTTAAGCCTGTCCGAAACTATAATAATCTTAATATGATATAGTGAAATTTTATGATTGCGCAAATTTCTCTTATTTATGAACAAAAGCTTTAGTATTACTATTTATTCACAAGAACAAAAATAAGAACAAAATTATTTTATATGAAAACACATTTCACTTAATTAGATTGCCTACCTGGCAGTGACATCAAATGTCAAGCCTTGAAGAGCTAAAATATATGAGAACAGAATAGCATGTGGCACTTACAAGCCATGAAAATGACAGGAAAGCAACATTGGTTTTGTATTACTTACAAAATATCGCATGCTGGGTGGCATTACCACCACTTCAGAAACAAATTTGTATCTGAATTACAAACAAACAAACAAAGTAGCAGCGCATATGTGCAAATCTGTATGACAGCAGCTAAACGCACCAATATATGTGAGCACATCAAGTTCTGTCTTAAATACGAGTATGTGTAATAAGTGTGGCAACCTCATTAGAAGCTTATTCAATTTACTGCCAAATGAGGAAAATATTAAAGAATATGAACCGTGCAGACACGCTGTGCCACTGCAATCTTGTTAACATTATAAAGTTATGTCAATTATGAGCTCAAAATTTTGTGCAAATGTCAATTGCAGCTGCGCTTTAGTGCAGTGATTGTGGAAAATGCATTCACACAGGAACTAATGCCACAAAGTGGTGATTAACCTGTTAAGTGCATGTGAAATTAGTACGTATAAGTCAAGCTAACTTGAAACTAAGCGTTAGTCAGTTGCTATAGAATGAGTGAGTTTGTATGACAATAAATTCATTTTTATTGTTTCTTGTATATTAGATATAATTGAAAATTTATTTTCGTACTTTCAGGACGAAGTCCGTCCTTAGAAAGTATGTTGCCTGGAAAATAGAACCCCAACCTCCATTCCATACACATTTGTATGGTTCACCAAACCAATGTCCATAACTACTACACTTATTTAATGGTACATTACATTCCAATTTTAATTATTGCCTCACATAATCGACCGCCTGCTGTTGTCAAATTAGAATCAGTTCATTTCTAATTGCTGTAAATAAATTTTCACTACGAACACATACAATATATGGTGGACTCACTTTCAACCCACTTTTAACCCGAACGTGTAGGAAACGAACTGTTATTTGCGCACTGCTGCCAACTTAGCAGTTGGCTGTTCCTGCTGTTACTTCCGGTGTTGCATGATTATTACCATCGGTCTTGCCTAAGCCAATTTGCTCTTCTGTTTTCTTCCTGCTTGAGTTTTTCTGTTACATTTTAATTCATTTTTTTTTTGTTTTTTTTTTTTCAGATTGATTTTTATTTGATTTTATTTCCATTTTCCATTTGGTTTAATTTCATTTCAATTAAATTTTATTTATGCTGCCACTAATAAAGGCAGTTAACAGTAAATTCAATCAAACTAAACCGCCAATGTCACAAGCATTTCAAATTAATTTCTCAAATTGACTTTTAGATTGACTTTTCCAGTTTATATACAAATTCTGTTTATAATGAAATTTAAAAATCCAACCCACATAAGCCTATCCCACTCACCCATTGAAGCACACATAATTACTTGCCCGCATAACGAGGGTATAGGTACGAGTGTACGAGTACTAAAAATAGTGTGCAGAGGTAGTACACTATTTTATGATATACATATAAAAATGTAAATAACATAATGTATGTAAATAATATACATATATATAATATACATTATAAATAAATAAAAATAACTACGAAATCCAAATAAAAGAAACTGTAGGTCAAGAGGACATACGTTTTGTCATAAAAATAATAAGGTAAAGGTCTGAGTTATCATCCATTGGATATGTTAATGTACAACTAAAAACTTAATCACAGATTAAGTTAAGTGCAGATGTCTAACAAATTAAGCGCGTATCAATACAAAAACTAAACGACTGTCTAAACTACAACGATCCAAACTTACCTAGGAAGAATAATTGTATTTTACTTTCATTCCACGTGGAGCTGCGTATACGCACCGAATAGTGTGACCCAATGATCAGCTGAAGTCTCGGTAGTCCTTGCTCCTTATCAAGGGGCAAGTTTTGCCAAACACATAACTTTAACTGCCAACAGTAGAAATTTCTTGAAACCCAATGATCAGCTGAAATATCGTAAAAATTACTTGGAACTCATCTTGGGCATATATCGGTGAATTGTCTTGATACCAGTGTTTGTAGAACACAATGCTGTTGAACCTTTAAAGCACGTAACCATGTTAAACAACTATTATCTTCACAAAAGCAAAGCAAAAGCATACATAACTTTATATTAAAAGCAGTCGTCAGACTAATACTTCTATATTGATCAGAAAAGGTTAATAAAATAACAGCTACAGAAATAAAGGTTTCATGAGAATTTTCAGAAGAACTAAACGAAACAAAATAAAAAACCAACAAAAGAAGTGAACTTAGTCGACTACTAAGGTACTTATTTAAGTGGAATGCTATTGTCGATAATACCCAAACACGTCTTGAAAATAAAGCATGTTGAAAGATGATCTATTGGAAACCCAATGTAGAATATCAACGAATACATTAATTTAAAGACAGTAAGATAAACACCAAAAACAGAAGATATAAAAAACACAAAATTCCAAAATTTCTCCAGGATTCTTAAAAGGCTCCTTAAGCAAATAAGGAATATCAATACCATTATCAGCTTTAGAATTAGTTGAAAATGACTAATATGATACCGAGTTGATGAACGGATGACCGCTACCGTCAACATTAAGTTAATATCTAGTACAGAATAAATTAAAAATAAGTTTAGACTTTAGCCAATGAGTTCAAAATAAATGAAGAAAGAATTGAGAACGAATTAAGAACAAGTAGGAACGAGTTGAGAACAAATTAGGAACGAGTTAAGAACAAATTAAGAACGAGTGGAAACAAGTTAAACACAAGTTGAGATCGAATTAACAACAAGCTGAGAACGAGTTGAGAGCGAGTTAAGAACAAGTTAACCTGAAATCGAGTTGGTTGATTGGTTGCCGTGGCAGACCATTAGATTACTTCTATGTACCTCAATTAGTTATTTTTCGCCGTTTTGCAACCACATTCCTCGTACGAACCCTAGTATAGAAGAGTAGAGACTAAATTCATCCCGCCGAATTTAGGTAATTTAAAAGGTCTTTTATTTTCACCGTTGAGCAAATAACGAGTTGAAAACTATATGGTTTGACAACAAGTTTATAACGAGTTAAGAACGAATTAACTTGAGAACCAGTTAATAACGAATTCAGAATGATTTGAAAACGTGTTCAGATGAGTTATTACGATGAGTTATTCAATAACGTTAGTTATTGAAACATTATTTTGTTGACGAATTGAAGTACCAATTTTCACTTTGGGAACGAAAGTATAAACTAATTATATATCTGCTAAACATATTTTTTGTGAATAATGTTAGCTTCTAATTCGTTATCTATTGGTTCAGTTTACTGGGTACTGTTGAATTATTTTTCACATAAACTAACAATTAAAAGAAATTAAATATATAACTAAAATAAACTGCAATAAATCCAAATAAATATTATTTTTCCTTAAATTAAATAAAGCAAAAAAAATATAATATAATTGGCAGTCAAGTAGATGAATGCGTATGGCGTACTATTCATAAGTTTTGTTCCTTATCCATAACTCTGATTAATTGCAAGTTAATTACTCAACTATTAGTTAATTACTTCGGGGCACTTTATAAATCACAATTACTTAATTAAAATTACAACTAAAATTAGTAACTAAACTGAACCAACAATTTTTCGAAATCCAACAGTAACAGTCGTGAGGTGAACTCGAAATGGCGTTGCTTCACATTTTTATTAAACCAAAAACAATTTACGATTGTACGATTTTCATCTGCTCTCTCCAGTTCTTCTTATGCTGTAACGGATTTTGGAGGCGTAACGGTCGTTATATAATCACCAAAGGCAGTCGAATCTACACATTTGTCGCGCCTATAGTTTACGTGCTTGGCGCTGCTTACACTATTTACAATAAACTAACAGATCCCTATCAAAAGGAGCGTACTTTCAGTCTCGATAGTTTATTATTATCCATAATATTTTCGGAAATCTTCATGTCGTCCTTAGTTTTTTTTATCTCAGTATTTTCCCTACAGTATCACAGTAAGAGACATCTATATATATACGAACGGCTACAGACAATTGATGAGTATTTCATTAAAGAGTTTGGTGCCAATATGAATTATCACAAACTACTGAGAAAAGTTATAGTGGTGATGACATTATCTTCCATTGTGTACTTAGGAGCAGTTCTATGGGCAACACTTCAACTATCCAATAATGATTTTATACTAATGTTTATGGGTGCTATGTGTTATTGTTTAATAACTGGTAGCATTAACTTTAATGGTTATGCTCATATGAATTTAGCCGAAATTATCAAAATTCGCTGTCGTTTATTACAGAAGATTTTGAATAAAGAGTTTATAGATTACAAGTTTTCGGAAAGCAATTTAAGAGAGTTACGCTTACAAAGAGCAGTGGAGATATGGAAGGAGCTACAACAAATAATACGTGAGATAAATAGA